ATAGAAAAATAAGTAATACAGTTAATACAAAGCACATGTACTGGATTCAGTTTTTTCACTTTCGTTGACGCTGTCACACATCGAAAATGTCCGTAGTAACACCATCATGGCAGCCATCTGAAATAGGAAATTATATTATGGAGGGTTGACGAAACTTTCGGACCACTCTGCATATATATATATATATATATATATATATATATATATATATATATACAGCTTTTTGAATTTGTAGGTCTGATGAATTGGATCGTTATTACGATTTCAATGTAATAAATTATAACCATGGAATATTAGTGTTTGAGCCTTTTATATTATATTCTTACTCTGTCTTGGACATTGAGTTCTACCTTCGAATTTTTCGGTATAAGGACTTCTAATACAGATAGAAGCTTACTTTTTTTTTAATTTTTTTGTTTTACTTCTTTTTCACACGGATTTAATGGATTAAAAAAAAAACTTTGAGAGTTTTGGCGATTAACAAAGATGGCCGACCAAGAAGCATGCTCCAGGATTGAACAGCGGTCAGTTATCAAGTTTTTGGTTGCTGAAGGGTGCAAACCAGTTGAAATTCATAGGAGAATGTCAACTGTGTATGGTACCACATGTTTCAGCCCAAAAGATGTCTACAAGTGGGCTAAATTGTTTAAAGAAGGACGGATCAGTGTTGAGGATGAAGACAGGCCTGGGAAGCCTACAGAAGTGAGGTCTCCTGAGCTGATCGAATCAGTCAATGACCTCATTCAGTCTGACAGAAGAATTACTGTGAACTGCTGAGGCAGGTCAAGAAAGACATAAAGAACAAACGCAAGGGTCATCAGTCAGAAAGGAGCCATCTTGCATCATGACAACGCAAAGCCTCACACAGCAGCCCAAATGATGCAGACCATCAACAAGCTGGGCTGGGAACTGCTCCCTCATCCCCCTTACAGCCCAGACCTTGCCCCTTCAGATTTTCACCTGTTTGGCCCCTTGAAAGCGTTCACGAGAGGCACGAAGTTTAAAAGTGACGACGAAGTCAAAAGTGTTGTGAGCGACTGGCTGAGACATCAGTCCAAAGATTTTTTATGCTGAGGGAATACGGAAGCTTGTGCACAGATGGGAAAAGTGTGTGACAGTGCTGGGAGACTACGTTGAAAAATAATTAAAAAAACGTAAGCTTCTATCTGTATTAGAAGTCCTTATACCGAAAAACTCACCTTATTTATTGAATGACCCTCGTATGTTATAATTATAGTATGATAGTGTTTTTCGTAACTGGGAATATTTTTCATGTCTGAAGCTAAGAGTTGCTCCTAACCCTTTCCATCATAGACAGATTTCAACTTAACCATAATATTACTATTTTAAAAATTTAAACTGAAAATAGTACTGGCTGCTTGCTCAATGAGTGTCGAATAATTCCATATAAATAAATGGCTAATATTATCATTATTTTTATTAGACATGCCTAACTCGATTCCAAGACACTGACCTGATAATTTCGCCTTTCTATCTCGACTTATACACCGGTAGATACGCTAATTATAATGACTCATTGTCATATTAAATGACTATCTTTACAAACATGAATCCTAAAATGGTAAGGCGAATATAGATTTCTCAAGTCCAGTAGCTGTTATCGCTCTTTCCAGTACGGAGGGAGTGGGTTCCTTCCTAACTTTTTCTTCGAAATAATGTCGAACGTCAACATGATGCTGATGTCATTATTTTCTCTTCGAGTATCCATTTTAGTTGCTGCTGCTGTTGAAAATCCTCAGGTGATGTGGTTTCTGTTATCTGGTACATTTTTGGGGCGATTATGTAGCGCCAGATCTACAGGTTTAACTCGCTCAAAGCCATTTTTAAACTATTGAGCTTAGAAAGCTGTTGTATATCTTTTTCTTTTTATGTGCCATGTCCTTTCAGGACGTTGGCGATCATGGCTCTCCACTTCTCTCTATCCCTTGCCGGTCTCAACAAGTTCCATCCCTCTGCCACCTCCCCCAGACGACGTCCTGTCATCCTCTTGCTTAAGCCCGCTAGTTATGTCATGCTTTGTTTTCCCTTTTCTATCTTTCCCTCTATTCGACCTGTGAGTATCAGATTCTCCAAATCCTCCTTCCTCATTATATGTCCCAGAAACTTCACCTGCCTCTTCCTGATGTTAAGTATGAGCCTCCACCTTGTTTGCATCCTCTGGAAGACCTCATCCTTGCTCACACGCTCGGTGCATGATATCCTTAGCATCCTTCTGTAGCCTCGAGTCTCTTCTTCATCTTTGAGGAGACCGTCCAACATTCGCTGCCGTAAAGGAGGATAGACGTCACGAAGCAGCTTAGTACTCTTGTGGACTCGCGCAGGGATTCCACCTATTTTTACGTGCATACGCGTATTGCACCCCTTCCTTTCAATTTCGGCTAGACATAGTAGTAAACCAGCCGTTTGTTGCCGACGTGATGAGGTTGCTGGCTGCTGCTGATTCCAGCTAGAACGGAATTTGAAGTTTTCCCGCGCATTCTCTGACGTCACTGACGAACGTGGTTTTTCAAATCAGTCGCTGCCTTGATCCAGAACAAGAAGGTCGACTCTTTATTTCGCGCCCCTTACCCATACGCGGGCCGGAATATCTTAACTAACCCAAATCTTCTTAGTGACTCCTTGGCTCATTATGCCGAATCGTTTCATGTGATTGCAACTTTCTTCGAACAACTTGTTTGAACCTTCCTGCATTTTCTACCGGAGAATGTAGAGTCTACGACACTGTCGTCATCACACTTTTTAAAAAGACTAATTCATCGTCCTTCTGCGAACAACTTGTTCGAACTTTCCTCCGTTCACTATTAGGGAACGTAGAGTTTTTCGACACGGCCGATTGATGAACTTCACATACACCTTTACAAACCAGTTAAAAAAAAAAAGATAACATTACACACACATTATAAAACCTTGCAGTGAGTATTTTCCTTGTTATGTATGCATGTACCTTTTGTATAAGAAGACTCTGTTCCAGAACTTTCCTTCTGAAGAAACTTTTCCCGCCTTAGCCATTTTGATTTTCGTTTTGGCGCGGAACATTAACATTCTATTACTGACTACTTGTCACTACATTATACAATTTGCCTACTGGCTAAGAACTGGCTTTACCTTTCTGATAGTCTCCACTGTTTGAGACAAAATATTTGTAATTATTAGGTTGGTTAAAAAATAATGACGTAATAATCTCGTTTTTTGACGTATTTTTTAACGTCAAAAAACGACATTATTACGTCATTATTTTTGCACCAACCTAATAAAATAAAGTTTTATGGTTTGTTTTCCACCAGATTCCTTTTCGTCGTTTCCTCCTGGCTATCTATATTTTACTATTTTTAATGCATGTGTTGAATGACCCTTTTTCCTCACTAAAGATCACACATTTATTATTTTTACTTTGCTAGTGAATTCGGTAGTCGTGAATAGTGTCTGGCACAAGGCCACCTTTTCGTAGGCCAGAACTGCATGCTACCAGGTCTGATACACTCTTTTCTTTGTTACCAAAGATATCCTTCTGTCGCGCAGCTTTTGGAATGCGTCTTTGATCATTATTCACATTATTTGGACTATTGTCCTCATCTTTGTCGCCATTTTTATTACAACGTTTCGGCCGTTGTACGCTCCGGTGTTCTTCCGGTGGTTGGAATGTCGAACTGAACTCTTTAATTCGCTCACTGGGGCAGACTGTTCTAGTTCCACATGCTATGTTTAATGGATGTCAGTTATCTCCTGTTAATTACCCTCTCCAAGTTCTCCACTGCCTTAACCGGGTATTGAACTCACACTCTTTGGGTCCTGGATCTAATCAACGCCTTTATCCACTGTGCCATGTGTCCTCATCTCAGAAATATTTGACCATCTCAATACATCTACGGATCTCAGCGTCGCACTTGCCGTCCTCTGTCAAAACGCTTCCCAGATCTTTAAACCTCTGACTGTGATTTATTCTAGTGTCCCTGACGTGCAAATCTCATTTCGGGCTGATCTTCTTACTGATGACCATGCATTCTGTCTTGTAGTTTATGCTTGGTCCTTTGTTCTCATTCTCTGTCGCCATCTTCTGTAGGAGATTTTGTAATTTCTTTTCCATGTCTGCTATCAGTACTGTACCATTTGCATATCTTATGTTAAGATTGTAGCCACCAATGATGAATCCTGGTAGGGTTTCCAATTCTCTCAGAACCACCTCGTCCACCCTGACCTGGGTGGTAACACCTATTAGGGTCCCAGCTATGGGCAAATAGTTAACTATTACCAGCAAAACATTTTTGGAAAAAAAAAAAATTACCAGCAATACAATTTTGAAGGAAATATATTACCAGAAACAGATTTTGGACAAAACAAAATATTACCAGCAATAAAATTTTTTGTCAGCATTAAATAGCCCATTTAGGTTGATATGTCGTAAAACAAAATAAACCAAACCAATCTAAACCAAAGAATACATATTCTATTCATACGAATCTATCCTAAAAATGTTGTCGGCATTAAATAACCCATTGGGGTTGATATGCCGTAAAACAAAATAAACCAAACCAATCTAAACCAAAGAATACATACTCTATTCATACGAATTTATCTTAAAAATGTTGTCGGCATTAAATAACCCATTGAGGTTGATATGCCGTAAAGCAAAATAAACCAAACCAAATCAGAACTGCCTCGATGTATAGGTTGAACAGGGCCGGTGAGAAGTGTAAAAACGTAACCATTTTTTTAAAAAAAAATGGGACATGCAAACGCAGTCTACCGAAAAGAACAAACAGGCAGCCATATCAAATGCACCCGTATGTAGAGATGCATTAATGTACTGGTACCCGACGGGTAGGTATGGTCATAGCCATGGAAGCACGAAGAGAAAACTTGCTAATTGTTTATAATACGTCCACCCGATTCTCAATCAGTGCCATTTGGTGAGTCGGCCGCGTGATTTTTTTTTAAAGGTGAACAGCCGTCGGATACAAAATAAGGGCCAGCACGTGTTTATGACATTGGACCCTGATTCGCTTGTCTTCTGTTCCAAATACACGCCGAATCGAAACCTATGTCGTGTCCTCAGTGGCAGTGCTGTCTCTTTTTGTTGGTACGTATTGAAGGTGTGTATACGGAGTTTCTCGAGTTGCGTAGGCACCGGGATTTCTTCTTCTTCTTCTTCTTCTTCTTCTTCTTCTTCTTCTTCTTCGTCGTCGTCGTCGTCTTATTCTACTACTTCTTGTTCTACCACTTATTGTTGTTGTTGTTTTTTTGTTGTTTTTTGTTGTTGTTTTTGTTGTTGTTCTTCTTCTTCTTCTTTGCCGTCGTCGTCTTCTACCATTTCTTCTTCGTTGTCTTCTTCTTTTACCACTCATTTTTGTTGTTGTTGTTGTTCTTGTTCTTGTTGTTCTTGTTCTTCTTCTTCTTGTTCTTGTTCTTGTTCTTCTCCTCCTCTTCCTCCTCCTTCTTCTTCTACCACTTGTTGTTGTTATTGTTGCTGTTGTTCTTCTTCTTCGCCGTCGTCGTCTTCTACCACTTCTTGTTCTTCTTCGTCGTCTTCTTCGTCTCCCTCTTCTTCTTCTTCTTCTTCTTCTTCTATGTACCGCATCCTTTCGAGACATGAACAATCATGGCTCTCCAGAACTTACTATCCCTTGTGGCATTATCAGTTTTTTTTCCTTCCTTTCCAAAGCATTCCAACCCAACCCCTGTTTCGCTATCCATTCACAAAAGCCCATCAGGTGGGTAGTCAACTGATTTTCCACTATCTTTCCTGCCTCGAATATTCCATGTGAGTGTTAAGTTTTCCTAGTTCTCTTTCCTCATTATGTGTCCAAGAAATATCAGCTGTCTTTTCCTGATTCTGAGCATGAGTTTTCTGCTTTTTACCATTTTCTTTGAGACTTCATCGTTACTTACTCGCACCATCCATAGAAAACCATATACAATATATATATATATATATATATATATATATATATATATATATATATATATATATATATATATATATATATTGTGTATTTAGGCAAAATCCTTCATTTATACATGTTTCATTAAAGACGACAGACAAAAAAGTACTGCATTTAAGTTATTTTATTTAATTTTTGTTGTGGTCGAACAAGTGTTTTCTTTTCTGGACACAGAGTGTGTAGAAACTGTCCAAATGTTCTGCAATCCCGAGCGCTTTCGGCTATACTTTTAGCCATTATCAAGGATGATTTTATTTTTGCTTTTTAATTGGGTGTCTGGGTTATGCGTATGTTTTTACAGTTATAGGGATGTGTTATTTTCCGAACAGTCAGCACATTATGGCCGTGTTCGTAGTTATTGAGTGTTGGCTTTTTCTTTTTTTATTATTAAGGCTTACATCCAATCAAAAAGCAAAAATAAAATCATCCTTGAGAACAACCGAAAAGCGCTCGAAATTATACAACATTTGGGCAGTTTGTCTTCTGCCTGATTAACGTCTCTTTTATTATTTCCTTTTATTTCTCTTGTATACTCATTTCCATACGAGTCCCAATTATTATTATTACTAGCAGTAGAACCCGGCGTTGCCTGGGGATGTAACAGTAAGAGATAGATCAAGTATCGACCATCATAAAGACTGAAAAATAAGATTGACAAAGATTATTGTTTAAGGTTGACAGACACGCATGTCTTAGTTAGTTAGTTTTTTTTGTTTTTTTTTTTTTACGAATTGGTCAAACCCAAACTCAAACAAAAACATTGTTTTCAATCGTTATGAGTCTCCCGATTGAATAGAATTTTATTATAAATAATTGTCTTGTAAATGGAATTTTTATAGTATTCTGAATGTTAGAAATAAAGAAAAAAGTGTGCAAGAGAATAAGAAACACTACCTGCCAAAAAAAACAAAAGTGAAGTTTTGTTTTATCGGCTGAAAAATATAGGAAATCCGCTCCCATATTTAAAGGAACCCCCACACACAAACAACCCGATGTGAGTTGTCCCCCTTCCATTTTCACGATGTCTCTTAATCGTGTTTTCAAATTGATTTTGTGCAAAAACAATTATATTTTTCCCATTTTTGGCGCTGTTAGAACCACCACAAGGTAATTTTATGTAGTCCTGTGAAGTTTTGTTGAAAAATGTAGGAAATCCGATCCAATATATAAACGTTACAGACACACACACATACACACAATCTGCGTTTTATAATAAGTAAGATTATTATTATTTCCTTTGATTTCTGGCGTGTACACATTTCTTTCCGGGTGCCGCTCAGGGACCCAAGGTTAGAAATGGCATCATGACATTTTCCACTGACAAAAAATATTACATAGATAAAGCCCTTCGTAAAGTGTGGGATGTACTTGTGAAAACGATTTTTTGTATCTCTTAGAGATATGGACTTCCAGGAATCCCTTCAATTAGTCTATTGGAATTCCTAGGGCTCCAACTACAACAGGGATTGTTGATGTTCCCATGTGCCACATTTTTGTGATTTCTATTTCAAGGTCCTTTTATTTTGATAGCTTTTTGAATATATTCAAAGATACATTGCAGTCTGCAGGGATTGCCATAACAATAAGGAGGCACTTTTTTGTTTGTGGTCTCTAATTATTATTATTATTATTATTAATTTTTATTATTATTATTATTATTATTATTATTACTATTATTATTCCTTTGGTTTCTGGTGTGTACTCATTTCTTTCCGGGTCCCAACCAGAGACCTAAGGTCAGAAATGTCATCATGACATTTTCTACTGAGCAGTTTTGAATAGAAACGCACATATTTTACATAGATAAAGTCCTTCTTAAGGTGTGGACTGTGCTTGTGAGAACAATTTTTTGTATTTCTTTAAGGCATGGGCTGTCAGGGATTCTTTCAATGACTCTATTGGAATCTTTTCCATTCAATCCGAGGGCTCCAACTACTACTGGAATTACTGATGTCCTCATGTGTCACATTTTTGAGATTTCGATTTCATAGTCCTTGTATTTTGACAGTTTTTTTTTTTTAGATTTTCATAGATACATTGCAGTCCGCAGGGACTGCCATGTCAATAAGGAGGTACATTTTATCTTTGCGGTCTCTAATCACGATGTCAGGGCGATTAGCTTTGATTGTTATATCTGTGTATTGTAAAACCACATAAAATTGTTACAGGTCCTATCTCTGTAACGAGATCTGGGGGGAGTTCATACCAATTTCTTTCAGTTTCCTTTACTTATAACATTATTATTATTATTATTGTTATTATTATTATTATTATTATTATTATTTGTGTATGTTATTCTTCCTGCTTTGTATCCTGTAGAGCCGGGTTCAAACTATGGTCCTTAGGCCCTATAGGGGAACTGTGATCTCAATTGAGAGCACTTTTCTTAATATATTGTATGTTCTTAGTAGGGCGATCTTCTGGGCATCTTGTATGTTGATATTACCTGAGACTCTGTTTTTAAAATTGTCCATTCCTTTTCTCAAGAGGCCCAAAGCTCCGATTACTATTGATACAGACACAGCCTTCATTGCCTACATCCTGTTAATCTCGATCTACAGGTCCTTGTATTTTGAAAATTTCTCGATAATTTTCAAGGAGACGTTATTATTATTATTATTATTAGTAGTAGTAGTAGTAGTAGTAGTAGTATATATTATGTTCCTAGTAGGGCGATTTTCTGGGCAACTTGTATATTGATGTTACCTGAGACACTGTTAGTAAAATTGTCCATTCCTTTTCCCATGAGGCCCAGAGATCCAATTACTATTTCTACAGTGTCAGTCTCCATTCCTCACATCCTGTTAATCTCGATCTCCAGGTCCTTGTATTTGGACAATTTCTCGATAGTTTTCATGAAGGTGTTTCTCTCAACTGGTACTGCCATATCAATAAGCATACACTTCCTGAATGTCTTGTCTTTTATGATAATAACAGATCTGTTGGCTTTTATTTCCCTGTCAGTTTGAATTGGCCTGTCCCACAGGATAGTTACATCGTTATTTTTGTTAACTGCGTCTGGCTAGTTGTCCTATTTCTCAGTCGTTTCGATTATTAGTATTTTCAATTTCTTTTCTCTTTTGGTTACTGTTTAAGGGATAACGTTTTCTTTTCAATTTAATTTTCAATGTTCTTATATTAACTTATTTTGTCATATTCTTTAAACCAGTTTTGTCTCATAGCACTTCCATAAATGAGTAAACATCTTTTGTTTGTTGTCTTTAGTCACGAAATCTAGTCAGTTAGCTTTTATATGTCTGTGAGTATGAATAGTAAAGTTTTAATAATAGTGACTTCATGACTATCTATGATATTACTATTCTTATTTGTTTTGATTGATTTCTCTTGTATACTTGTTTCACTTTGAGTATGACGATAAACTACATCCGCGTCCTGGCTAAGACGATAAATTACGTCCAACAGCAAGGCCTCTGATCAAGAGGTTTTGAGGAGAGTGGAACCACCTCTTAATTGCTGGTGATCCTAGGTCCAACCTGTTCCTGGGTGGTAGCACCTGTTAGGGTCCCAGCTATGGGCAAATGGTTAACCCCCAAACTGGGGCGAAAACACTACGAAAGTGTAAAAATAGGTTTTAATACGAGAAATACTTTGTAAAAAAAATTATTACCAGCAATATATTTTTGAAAAATAAAATATTACCAGGAATAAAAATTTTGTCGATATTAATTAACATATTGATGTTGTTATGTTGCGAAACAAACCAAATCAAACCAAACCAGAGACCTAAGACCAGAAATGGTATCGTGATATTTTCCACTGTACATTTTTAGAAAAACGTAAAAATAAAAACGAAGTATTCTAAAAAATACACATATTTTACTTCACTAGCAGAATAATAATGCGGGTAAATTGATCAGGTCCGCGGTTGAGCCTGGGTCCGTCGCCCGGGACGCAGAGATATAAAAAAAAAAAAAATAGTTAAATATTCTTCGCTTGCTAATAGATTTTTTTTAACTCCTGTGGCAGTGGAGACTTCAGGGGTTATTGGCCCTCGTTCGATGGCGTTCCATCGGAGGATTGGCGGGATTGCGTCTCGATTAAGGGACGAGCCTCGTGAAACGGAGTGGCTCTTGCAGAGTGTCTCACTGGCGATGGTTCGAAGTAATGTTTTCTTCATCATTGCGGCTGGCAGAGGATATTAAAGAAAAAATTGTTTATAGTTTCTGGAATTGTTATCAATGGTCAACTGAACTTGCTTTGTTTCAATAAATTTACTGGATTATTTTCTTAAAAAAAAAAAAAAAATTAAATAATGCTACTTGGTTTGTCGCCGGTGACGTCACCAGTGACGTCGCGGGTGACGTCTCCAGTGACGTCGCCGGTGACACCGACGTTCCTCTTTCTGTGGGTCCTCCCGCAAATCTGCCGCCGATATCAGACCCCGCGTTCTTCTTCCGTCCCGCCGAAATGTCCTTTGGCGCTCGCCGCCTTACAGACCCGCTTTCGGTCAGTTCACATAGATAAAATACTTCGTAATACGAGAGCAGTAGCAGTGAGGACAGATTTTTGAATTATATTACACAAACGTTTGTTCAAGTCGAAAGCAGACGAAACCTGATTAACCAATGAAAATCAAACAGCACAAAAGTAAAAATACCAAAATTTCTTTCTTCTTTTTCTCCATAACTCATTCTCCGACGAAGCTTTAATAAAAGTGAAACATGTTAGATTGACAAACGCTTCCTATTTGTTCTTTATCTTATATATATATATATATATATATATGTCATCCACAGACAGACTCATCAGCGTGGTTAGACGTCCGGTTGTCTCTAGCTAGGATCGAAACCCGGCTGAATTGGCGTCTGTTAAAGATTCTATTCCTAAGTCGAGATGAAAGGGAATTTAAGCATATTTATTTTTAGATAAAAACACAGTGACTGAGAGAACTCAATTCGCTCTACTGAAGAGTCTTGCATCGTCAGCAGCAATAGTCACTGTTTACAAACTCACACTTCTTCCCCAGAGAGCTTAACCGAAATAGACTTTTCAGGAGCATATATATTGTCATCCACACACATCCACACACACACACACACACACACACGCATATATATATATATATATATATATATATATATATATATATATATATATATACCCAATTGAAAATAAGTAGACAAAACTTGTCTAAATTATTCAATGAAAGATGCCGAAATAGACTTTTCAGGAGCATATATATTGTCATCACACACACACACACACACACACACACATATATATATATATATACCCAATTGAAAATAAGTAGACAGAACTTGTCTAAATTATTCAATGAAACATGTCGGAATATATATATATATATATATATATATATATATATATATATTTAGTGGGGAAATAAATATTCGTACACTTGAAAAATTGTATCTTTATAAATGTAAAAGCCTTAACTAAAACAAATTTTGATACATTTTATGTGTAAAGATACATTTTATTAAAAAATTGTAATAAACTTAATTAATTCTTATTCTAACAGAAATTAATACATTTTATTTTCATTTTAACTAATAAAAATTTGTTCGTACAAAACAAAAAGGCATATTAACTTAATTTAATACTTTGTGGAATATCCTTTATTGTTGTTCAACAGCTACCAGTCTATTCCTGTACGTCTTAACTAATGATTTGCACACATTGAGTGGTATTTTGTCCCATTCTTCTTGGCATATTGTCTTCAAATTCTTGATATTTGTTGGTGCTCTTTTCCCAATTTGAATTTTCGAATATCGCCATAAATTCTCGATTGGGTTCAAGTCTTGCGACTGACTTGGCCATTGCAAGACATCAACGTTACTTTCAGCTAACCATTTGCTTGTAGATCTAGCGGTATTATCCAGTTGGAAAACCCAATCAGGAGGTAGCCGAAGTCTCTCAACAGAACACATTAAATTGTCTTGCAAGATTTTCTGATAGCTTTAGGCATTCATCTTGCCATCTATTATTGATATTCTGCCAACACGTTTTGCAGAAAAACAGCCCCAGATCATGATACTGCCACCACCAAACTTTACAGTTGGCAATGTGCTCTTTGGTAAGTAGGCTTCACCGTCCTTCCTCCACACTTGATTTCGATAATTATGACCAAACAACACTATTTTACTGTCCATAGTACAACGAATATTCTTTATCCTTATGCTCTCTAACGAATTTTAGCCTAGCATCTCTGTGTCGTTTCAAGAAGAGTGGAGTCTTCCTTGGGATGCGTGATTTCAGACTGTTTTTGTGTAGTTCATTACTTATTGTACGCTTGGTTACTTTAATCCCTAATGCACGCAGATGTTCCTGCAGCTCTTCTCGGATAACCTGTGGATTTTGTTGGATCTGGCGTCCTAATATCCTTGCTGATCTTAGAGGAATCTTCCTCGGAGCACCTGTTCGTCTTTGGTTTTCGACGCTGTTACGAGTTTTAAACCTTGCAATGAACGAAGCAATTGTAGTAAAAGGAATATTCAGATTGTTAGAAATCGTTCTGTAACTGTTCCCATCTTTCCAAAGAGACAAAATGTGTTGTTTTTGTAAAATAGTCAATTCTTTACTTTTAGGCATTATGAGAACCTTCTCGTAAGACTAGAAATTGCAGAATACTCTGATAATGGCTAATAGCGTTAACTATAATTACTGATAACATTACTGTTTAGAATAATAATTAATTAAGTTTATTATTATTTTTAATAGTATGTGTCTTTATACATAAAACGTGCCTAGATGTATTTTATTTAAGGCTTTTACATTTATAAAAATACAATTTTTCAAGTGTACGAATATTTATTTCCTCCCACTATATATATATATATATATATATATATATATATATATATATATATATATATATGTGTGTGTGTGTGTGTACATATATATATATAATCAAGTGGCCTGATGATTGCGTCCAGCATGAAATGTTTATATTTACATACGCTCTATCCCTGATATTGAGCACTTTATTCTATAAATATAGCACACCTTAAAATTATATTTCTTCATATATATATATATATATATATATATATATATATATATATATATATATATACAAAGTATATGATTGGTGTATATGGAATGAATTCCAATAACCAACAATTACTATTCTTAAAAGAGTGCTCAATACAAAGTAGAGCAGATATAATTATTTATTTTAAAAAATGTTTATAACATAAATATGTTTATATTTATGTTATAATTTTTTTAAAATAAATAATTATATATATATATATATATATATATATATCTTTTGTTTGCTGATGGCGCTGCGTTTGTGGGCACGTCAAACGAAGAAGCTCAAACACTCGTCAATCTTTTTTCCACCGATTGCAACTTCTTCGGACTAACTATAAGCCTACAGAAAACTGAAGTTGTCCATCAACCAAGGCCTACACATAAGCAGGTCAAAGGTGTAAAACAAAAACCACCTGCCCATACCTTTCCAGTCATTCCCATTACTGTTGATAAGAACAACTTGAAGTATGTGAAATCGTTCACGTACTTAGGAAGTAAAGTCAATTTAAGTGCCTTTTTAGATGAGGAGATAGTCACCCGAATATCAAAGGTAACCAATGCCATTGGGAAGCTTAAACATCGCCCGTGGGATGTTCATGGGATTTATTTGAAAACAAAAATCTGTGTCTATCGAGAATTGTGGTGAGAATGACTTCTCACACAATTCTTTAGGGGTCAGAATCGTGGACGCCATACAGAACGTACATCAATCAACTTGATGCTTTTCATAGACGCCATCTTCGTTTAATATGCGTTTATACATGGCAACACAAAATTTCTAACCCTGATCTTTTCATCAAATGTGGCGTCGGTGGGATAGAATCCTTTCTGATGGAATCACAGTTCAGATGGGTCGGTCATGTCATCAGAATGAATGATGAGCGGATGCCGAAAATCCTCATGTATAGACAACCTTTTTCATGGTAAGCGTAACATAGGCCGTCCTTGGTTACGCTTCAAGGATAAACTTAAATACAATTTAACTGCAGCAGACATCCCTATAGACGAGTTCGAACTCGCCGTTGAAAACCAAGCAAACTGGAGAAATACCTGCCACCGAGGTATAACTAACTTTAAAAAGAATCATCTTAACCATCTGAGAGAATTAAGAATTAACACTAAATCTCGGGTTAATCTATCAGCCCATTTGACGGTGAACCCTTTAGTATGCACTTCGTGTGGATTTGTTTGCAAATCCCGTACAGGATTGTTGTCTCATACGAAACATAAACATAAAAACTAAACTGAAAGACACTCATACGTCGAAAACGACGGGAGAGTCCATCAGATATATGAATGAGGTTATTATGTTTGTATTTATTCTAGTATGTTTCGCATGGAGTCTGGTAAGTTTGTATGTGTGCTTAAATGGGTTCTAATAGATCTATGGTCGGATAGGTGTAATGTAAGGCGTCGGGATAGGTATGTAGTAGTGTAACCGATGTAATTTTTTTATGAATTCGGTTTGATCAGGAACACAGTTCCTTAAGGAGCATTTGAACTCATAAATAATGTTTGTTGTAATTTTGATTTTGCTGAAGTGTTCTTATTTCTGGGGACCAGATTAGCTGTTTCAAATTTTTTGTAGTAGATAATTAATTTGATTTTTCTGATTTATTTATTTTTTTTTTGGACCAGAACAAAATTATTCATGAGTTCAAATGCCCCATCATCTACATGTAAAAAAAAAGATAAAAAATAATGGAAGCCTTAATAATAAATAAGAAAAAGCCAACATTTAATAATATAAACTACGAACACGGTCAAAATGTGCTGACTGTGTTCGGAAAATAACACATCCCTATAACTGTAAAAACATACACACAACCCAGACATACATTAAGAATAAAAATAAAATCATCCTTGATAATGGCTAGAAGAATAGCCGAAAGCGCTCGGAATTGCAGAACATTTGGACAGTTTCTACACATTTTGTCCAATTAAAAGAAAACACTTGTTTGAACCCAAGAAAAATTAAATAAAAAGCTTAATCACAGTACATTGCCTATCATCTTGAATGAAACATGTATAAATGAAGGATTGCTGCCTAAATACACAATATATATATATTATATATATATGTATATATATGAAGAAATATAGTCTTGATGTGTGCTATATTTAAGGGATGAAGTGCTCAATATCAGCGTTGACTTCAATGTTCACTTTCATATATATATAATATCTGCTATTATTGACAGTTGTAAGATCTCGGAACGTGCAAGGACGCAACGCTAAGTTTTTCAAAATTTTAAGTGAGAATTTTATTTAAATATTTCTTGTGATGTGTTAAATCCACGTATTCTATTTTTACAAGTGTATTCAGTTTTTATGTCATGAACTAAGTATATAGTTCAATAATATAGTGTAGTGTCATAATAGTAAATTTTTTATAGGAATTTTTTTGTACTGCGGATCGATAGTTTTTTAATAAACATAAAACATTAGGCAGCATATGATTTACATACAAGAATTAATCACACATAGAATTAATAAGAAGTATCAATGCGATTATTGGCGAGATCTTACAACTGTCAATAATAGCAGATATTCAAAAAACATCTTTCGGTCGACATACAGATATATCGTCTCAAGTTTTTGATTTTATAAGAAAAAAACAACACATGCCTGATGATGGATGGTAGACCCTCCGTAAGTACTAGCATTTTAACATCGAATAAACTGAAAAACTACAGACAACAAGTTTTTCTTCAAGGATCAAAAGTCGCACTATGGATGAACAGGATTTTAATGCATATATTATGTTTTCTAGTGACGGATGTCGCCAATAATCACATTGATACTTCTTATTAATTCTATGTGTGATTAATTCTTGTATGTAAATATATATATATATATACTTTTACATATATATATATATATATATACTTTTACACACACACACACACACACACACACATATATATATATATATATATATATATATATATATATATATATATACTTTTATATATTTCGTGGATTTATAACTTTCCAAAATTCAAATAAAATTCTCACTTGATCGATTTGAATAAGAACTCTAGCGTCGCGACATAGCACGCACCAAAAGACATATTCAAATGTCAATAAATAGCATAATTTAAAAAAAACATCTTCCGGTCGATATATATTTCGTCTAAGTGTTTACCTATATATATGAAAAAAAAATTGCGACCCGAAGATGGCAATTTGAAATTGTCGAAAGTACTTAGCATTTGTCTTCCATCTGACAACAACTCGAATATAAGGATCCTATTATTCAAGGAACTGATAGTAAGTTAATGTCTCGTTAAGCCTTATTAGCGATGAGATTTCGCCATTAAACACATTGACATTGCTAATTAATATATACATTGTCACACGACTACATGCCTATCCAGACGCCTTAAATTACACTTATCTGACTACAGCTATATTAGAATCCATTTAAAGCCACACGCAAATATACCAAACTTCATCCGAAGCATACTAGTCGAAAATACAAACATCCACATGTAAAAAAAAGATTAGAAATCACGGAAGCCTTAATAATAAAAAAGAAAAAAACAACACTTAATAATATTAACCATGAACACGGCCACAATATGCTAACTGTGTTCGAGAAATAAAACATCGCTATAACTCTAGAAACATACAGACAACTCACATACCGAATTAAAAGCAAAAATAAAATCATCCTTGATAATGGCTAAAAGTATAGCCGAAAGCGCTCGGGATTACAGAACATTTGGACAGTTTCTACACACTCTGTGTCCAGAAAAGAAAACACTTGTTCGACGACAACAAAAATTAAATAAAATACTTAAACGCAGTACCTTGTCTGTCGTCTTTAATGAAACATGTATAAATGAAGGTTTGTTGCCTAAATATACAAAACACACACACACACACACACATATACATATATATATATATATATATATATATATATATATATATATATATGCCGTCACTGAATTTAAAGGCACATTTGATGTATGTAGGTCTATGTCTATGTAGAACTATTTTTATTTCATGGATTGATTTCGCAAGATTTCGCAATTCATTTTGATTATTAAATTTATTTCCAACTTATAAAAACTGTTATCGTACTTAAAAATTCGTCGCAAAAAAAATCACGTAAAAAATCGCCGGTAACAATCGAATTAATGAAAACTTGGGAAATCAAAATTTCAGGATTGTGGGTCCGGATAGGGCTGGGAATATTTTTAATTTGCTCACGGGGTTGGCCTGTTTCCAAAATGATATATCGGGCTACAGCCTACAGGAAAAAGTGTGACACAGTAACATTGATATATACATATATATATATATATATATATATATATATATATATATATATATATATGCAACCTGCCTGGTCGCATCCAAAATTCGGAATATCCTCATTGAAAACACAACTATACTTAAACATGAAAACAATAAACAAAACTAAAAAATTCTTGAAGCTATATACATAAAACAGTTGAAATCTAACCTGAACAAAATAAACTATGAAATCTCCACAAATATTCTTAAATGCCTATAATTGATAACAGAAGCCATTGGTTTATCCCAATGGCTTCCCATACTTAATACTTCTCGTTTACACTCTCGCGTGGTCATGTGTGACGTTACGAGCTGCGGTGCGATTTTCGCTTCTTCGTCTCGTATACACAAATTTGTTGTTGCTTGGAAATCTGTCATGCAACAAAAACAGACTATCATTATTGTTTTGTCCGTGTATTGTTTATATTGGATTTAAACATATATCAATATGGTGATTTCCTTTCGACTTTCAATGATAATGTTATTAAGCTTATCAGACGATATCAAAGGAATTTACTTAAAATAGTCAAAACTTGTCTATATTATTTAATTAAACATGCATCAACATATATATATATTTATATATATATATATATATATGTGTGTGTGTGTGTGTGTGTGTGTGTGTGTGTGTGTGTGAAGAAGTTCTTTCTAAGGAAGAAACACGTTGCATAGGAGTGTTTGATATTATTTTTCTTTTATCATTCAGCTACTAAATATTATTTTCGTCCAATTTTTCACAACTCACACATGTATTTTATTTTTGTACACCCCCCCCCCTCTACTGCTGTTGTCAGGGAGTGAACACGGGTGCTTTTTTATGTATGGAGGAGAATTGTCATTTATCGGGAAGGCATTGTCACTTATAAAATCTATTTTCAGATCCATCAGCTCCTCTACACACACGCAACACGCATGCGCGCACCTAACATTTTTTTTTAAGTCTCGTTCCCGTTAGGGGCCTCTCGCTATTCATAGCTGCGAGCTTTCTTTTTCACTCTCTCTCTCTCTCTCTCTCTCTCTCTCTCTCACTCTCTCTCTCTCTATCTCTCTCTCTATGTATCTCTCTCTCTCACTCACTCACTCGTACACACACCAGCGTACGAATTAACTGACTATCTGAACATTTTTCAATTTTCTCTTTCCCTTCTACCATTTCATTCAGCGCACGTGCCACAGCGCAGTGGCTGTTTAACTGTCAACAGCCCCGGACTCTACGCCATTTAGGAAGGACTCGGGCAAATATGAAATAATATAATCGAAGATCTATCAAAGAAGAAGCGATAAAGAAAAAATAACTTTTTTTTTTTTTTTTTCTAATGCTTAACAAAAGAGACTGGGCAAAACAGGCTCTTTCATTCGAAAAATAAAAAAAAAAAAAAAAAAAAAAAAAAACAGTCGCCTGTGTTTTGGCCAACCCGGTAATTCCAAGCCTGGCCCGTCTGCCGAACACGCGACTTTGCATCTGGCCCCGGATTGTCTGACTTTTTCCAATTTTTCGATTGTTACCCTCGCTTGCAAAGCCAGGTTCTATATGTGCTTTGCGCATTCGCTGTACGTTTGTTCGACTTGCTATTGTGTTCTGTAGGTTATAACAAAATAAAGATGCATATTCACTGCGAGATGCGCATGCGTATAAATGTAAAACTATTGTCCTATATCTTCCATTTTACTTTGCGTCAGTGGCTTTATTTATCTGAATCATTGTGTGGATATATATTAGTTTTTTTTTTCCTGAATAATTTCCGTTTTTATTTATAAACAACATTCTTCAAGAAATTACAAGCACAATTAAATTTTATTCAGATGTATATTCACCATTATTTGCGATGATTTTTGCCGACTATCAAGCAGTTCTTTGATACATTTTCAGTAAATCTCCGAAGGTTTTGATGTGAAAAATTTTCGACGAACACTTGAATCTGGTTTTCATTACAAAAACTTATCTAAATCAAAACGTTTTGCATCGATCAAAAGAGGTAATAATCGGTTAGTACACGGTCAGGTTAATATGGCGGTAGGGACTGAAAAGAAAAAAAAAGAAGAAAAACTAGCTTCAATTTTTTTCCCCAGTTTCTTCTCGTTGTATGTGGCCTTGCGCTGTCATGGAATAGAACAAGATATATTCCTACTGATGAACACAGGCAGCTTTTCAACCAAACTTTTATCGACACGTTCTAGCTGTTGAACGTAAAAATGTACACTTAGTGTTTCGTTGCGTTTTTAGAACGCCAAATCAATGATTCCCAACATGGTGTGCCTGCCCCACCGGTGGGGCATGGTAATATTTTGGTGGGGTATGCGTAGGATGTGAACCCTTCGGTTTACTATACCGACATTTCGAGAATGAGTTATTAACAGTAAATTGTTTTCTAGTGAGCTCAAATTTCATTTTGCATTATTATTTCATGATTAAAATGATAAAAGTATATTACAGAATAAATTTTCATTCAAATAATTTATATTTCTGCCATTCAGTCCTCTGTTATATTCCCACAAATGGGAAGACGCTTATCTTTTGCGAGAGCTTACATTGTAGATGTGTTCACTAAACTGAAGACATGAAAAAGAGAACGAGGCAAGAATATATATTTAACTGACTTTTAGGTTTTTTTTTTTAAATTTTTCTCTTTCATGGACGCCATGGTCTTTGGAAGCTTGTTTAGAGACCAAGTTAATGGCCTTTTAAGCTTCCTTCATGTGAATTGCAGTAAAATCTTGAATATGTAAGTCCCCTTAGAATTGCGAAAGATACCTCCCAAATCTAAACAATGTTTGTTTAACGGCATATCAACTCCTCATGGGTCATTTAATGTCGAAATTTAATTTTCTTGTGAGCTTAACTATTTTTTTTTTACAATAACCTATTCCTGTTCATTTATTTTCTTTTCCAAAAATCTGTTACTGGCAATTATTTTTTTTTTTTATCTATACTTTCAGTTTTTTGACGCAATCTAAACAATGTCTTAAAAGACAGAAAAAAAATTGTTAGAAGCAAAGAAAATATTGAAAAACTGCTATAAAATATCAATCTTTCTTAATGGCAGAGAATTCTGGAAAATTTCCTCACAAACGAAGAAGAGACTTGAAGCAAGATGAATGCGGTTCTACAGGAGGGGGACGGAAATACCATGGAGTGAACATTTGGGCAACCTCGAAATTTTAGAGAAAATGGAAACAAAAAGGTTACTTGAGCTTAACATCCGCGGTAACAGAGTTGCTGCTCTACAGAAGGATGCTGAGAATGGAATGGGCGAAACATGATCGACAAAGAAAATTTTAAGGAAAATGGGAGCGAAAAAGGATCAGAAAGAGACGATTTAAATTTCTGGGACACATAATGAGGAAAGAGGACTTGCAGAATTTGATACTCACAGGGCAAAAGGAATCATCTAGTGACCTACCTGATGATCACGAGTCGCATAACTCATCAGGGTCAAAGGTTCGCCACATATACTGCAATCGCAGTAGAAGTGGTGTGTCTTGGGCAAGATAACCCGACGGAGCCCAACCTTCACCACCCTCTCTCTTCAGAGATTTTCTTCAGTTTTCCTTCTCCTAGACAGGTTGCCACCCAAAGCTATCGAACCCTAGAAGCCTGTTCTACTATTTATCTATAGCTCTGGAGGAGAAGAAGAGGATTCATACCTTTCCCAGTGGTATTAGCATGTAAGTGAATGTGTCAGAGTTATCTCCCTTCTAATTCCCTAATTGTTCACCAGGGGTCGCTCTCACTACACTATAAATACTGGGCGACTTCTTGCCTCATTCTCTTTTTCATTTCTTCATTTCAATGAACACGTCTACAATGTGAGTTCTCGCAAAAGATAAGCGTCTTCCCATTTGTGGGAGGCGCCGTGAACATTATACACACACACGCGCGCGCGTACCTACGAACATTCACCAAAATACAAACTCTTTACGTTCACACACAAACACAAATGTCTTTGTCACTTGTAAATTTGTTGTTTAATACATACAGGGTGTCCATAAGTTCGCGTGAACTTTAAAAAATTATAACTTTATTTGTATTTGTGATAGAAATAATCTGTAAAAATGTTATAAAGTTTAATGTACCTAGTTTTAAGTATAGCTAAAATAACTAATGTGATTTCAGGCATTACTTTAAATCAGTTGGCAAATGTTTTCCGTGAACTGCAAAATAGTATTACCCTTTGTATTGCTAATGATGGAGGACATGTGGAAACTTAAATAAAATTTCAATAAAACCTTAAAAAGATATAGATTTACTTCTTTCTAATCCTTTTTACAAATTATTTCTATCGCAAATAAAGTCATAATTTTTTTAAAGTGAACACGAACTTTATGGACACCCTGTATATTTGTTTATATATACGATCGTGGTGATGTTCTCTGTCTCGTCTCCTTTTTTGTGTGTGTATATATATTTAAATATGTCTGGGTGCTTAGATATTATAATCTGATTGCGTTTGTTTTACGCGTGAGTTTAGGACCCCATTCACACACTCTTAGGATTAAGATGGATACATTGTCAAAAGACCGGACATAAAATTAGCTAAAGTAACTTCAATGAAGAAATAAATTGAATAACATATATATTTCTTCTTTTCTCCTCAGTAAACTTAATAGCGATTAAATTTTGATCTTGAAATTAGCAGTTTTTAATTTTAATATTAAACTTTATCATATAATTTAGTAATTATTGATTAGAATAAATTCTTTTTTAATACTACCCATATTCTAAATATTTGAATAGCTATTATAACATGACTTTGTTGTCAAGCTTTTTGAATTTTCCTATACTTGTATTTTGATTGGTCCATCTAGCTTTTGTAACAACGTTTTCCCCTTGTGAAGGATTGTTAATTAATTCGAAACTTTTAAAACCATTTATTTTACATTCAACATCATCACTTGATAAGACACTGAGAGTGTTAAAACAAAATGGCTATTTTTGTAGTGATTTTATAACATATTTATGTTATAAATTTTTTTAAATAAAGAATTATATATATATATATATGTGTGTGTGTGTGTTTGTGTTTGTGCGTGTGTGTGTGTGTGTGTGTGTGTGTGTGTGTGTAAAAATATATAGAACATAGGAAAAAACTCGTTAGGTAAATAATCCAAAGTTCTTTGTTATTATTTTAAAAAAAAATAGTGCTCGATACAAAAGTAGAGCATAAATATAATTATTTATTTAAAAATATGATTCCAACACGCTACATAAGAGTTCTCATGTTTCAAAACAAGAGCCGATAGCTTCAATATAATTATTTGAATTAAATATATTATATATATATATATATATATATATATATATATATGTATATATATATATATACCGCTCTTGTTTGTTTTCTTTACATCTCCGGTTGAACTCTACTTGAGTCCGCCATTTTTCTTGTAGCAGGAATAAACAGCACGTGTTCCCAATTCAACAGCACGCAAACCCACCGGTTCCTCTACAATGTAATGGATCCAACTGGATTCCGAAAACCGATTCCTCAGTCCAAGACGCAATCCTTTACTCCACCGTGCATCCAGCTGACGCGCCTGCGCATAAGAGGCAAATAGGAGGGAGGCAGTTGTTACGTGGAACTACAAAGTATTGACACTTGGAGAAAGCCACGATTACCAAAATTCTACAGGGATACGATACACAAAAGAAGAAGAATCTTCGTCTAGCACAAAGCCAGAAACATTGGGGTTCATACTACATAAAATTCTGGCGTACAAATGTCCTTTCTAAGAAATCAAGGTGCGTACTTTTAATACAGCCGGTTAACATATCAGAATAAAGCGCTTATTGTGACTGGTCCGATGAAAGAGAGATTATATGGGAGTTGTCTGTTTCGTCGCAGTTTCACCTTACACTTTTTACGATTGATTTCGACCTTCTTTTCGGGCGACATTAATCACCCCGTGTCTGCGTAAGCGTATAAATATATTTCATATGCAAATGTACGTATAAATAAAAGACAAAAGGTACACTTTTCTTTACCAACGCGTTTCGTCTCCTGAGGGACTTTATCAAGTTAAATGTTGAGATTTTATTTTACAACTTAAGCTGAAAAACTAAAAACTCTACCTTGAAAAAAGAAAAATAATAAAATGCCTACCTTAATAACCTTGATAAAGTCTCTAAAATCTCCCAGGTAAATAAAAGTGATCCTTTTGTCTGTTATCTATATTTTCTTTACAAATATATTTTATTTAAATCAGTATTCTTTTTTTAGGTATGGAGGTATATATGAAGTAGTTTACTGATACATTATATATATATATATATATATATATATAAAGTTGCAAATTAAAAAATAATAATAATGTATTTGTAAACAAACCTCTAAAAAGTTTTTTTCTGAAGAAAGATCGAGGTCGGTCTGAAATATCAAATATATATAAATAAATAAATACTTTCATAAAAAACATTATTATTTTTTTTAATTTTCAACTTTTTCTATATTAGGAAAGTATACGTGGCTTCTCATTATGCTATATATATATATATATATATATATATATATATATGTATATATATATAAAGAAATAATCATACATAGAATCAATCACCAATGTTAATACGATTAATGGCGAAATCAATTCGTTAGTAGAACATAATGTATGCATTAAAATAATGTTAATCCATTGAATGATGTGATCCTCATTTATAAAACTGTTGTCAGATGTTTCTAGTGTATATTTTTCAAGTTAAGCAAGTACTTTCGAAGATTCATTTCTTCATCTTCAGGCTGTAATTTTTTTTTCCTTTAAAGTTACAACTTGAAGACGAAATAATTGTTTGTAAATCGAAAGATGTTTTTATAAGAATGTGCTATTTACTGACGGTTGTGCAATCTCGGAATGTGCATTAATTTATACATTATGTTCTACTAGCGAAGTGATTTCGTCATTAATTGCATTAATATTGCTGATAGATTCTATGCATGATTATTACTTTATATATAAAATATATGCTGCCTAATATTATATCTATCTATCTATATATATATATATATATATATATATATATATATATATATATCAGAAAAGAATAAAATACCAAACACTCTCGCAACCTGGGTTTCGACTGTGAGATGTCCTCAGGCAAGTGGAAGGATATCTTTGCTCTTTGTTGTCTATACTTTTTAGAAGTGGCTGTTTTCAGTGTTCCTTTTACATTTCTATCCGTGTATATATATATATATATATATATTTATTAAAGACATTTTTATGTTTAACGTTGTTATTTTATAGATACAAGTATTTAAGCAAATGCTCTGTTTATGATAAACAGTATTAAATAACATTTACCGGCCTGAATGTCGAGAAATTTTCATAGAAAATATTCGTTCTTTGACAGGATTCGAACCTGCATCCTATACGGAACCGTCATATACGCTTAAATACTTGTATCTATAAAAAATAACAACGTTAAACATAAAAAAGTCTTTAATAAATAAATTGTCGGACCTTGTCCATTTAATATATATATATATATATATATATATATATATATATACAATGTAACCCGGATATAAGAGAGTTGTCGGGACCGGAGAAGAAGTCTCTTATATTCGGGTTTGTCTTATATCCGGGTTTGGTCTATTTTATATACATTAACACAGGCTCTAATTTGGGACCAGAGAAAATCTCTCTTATATCCGGGTTTCTCTTATATCCGGGTTTCTCTTATATCCGGGTCTCTTATATCCGAGTTACACTGTATATACATATTGAGAACAGGTAAAATGAGAACAAAGGGAGCATAATTCCACTGTACGTAACATTTAATTTAAAAGAGAGCTATATTAAAACTATATTAAAAAAAATTTTCCGGTGAATTTGATTTTAGCTTAGTTCGCATTCGATTGGTTAATCACGGCAAAGCGCATAACCCTATTTCTTTTTAATTATTCTGCTATTGAAATTAATCTTTCACTCGCCTTGAGTTTCACGTCGTTCGAGGAGAGAGATTTATAATGTTGAAACATGATTATAACTGTATAGCGAATTTTAACATGTTATTGTTTTAATATCGTAAAATAAATTACAGATAATGATGTAAATAATGATCAAAGATGCATTCCAAAGGCTGAGCAGAGTATTACGAGACAGGAGGATTTCTTTGGTAACGAAGAAAAGAATACTGAACTGTTACGTGATATCTGTCCTTCTTTACGCCAGCAAATGATGGACGGTCCTCCAGACTGAGGCAAATGATGAAGAGATTCCCTGAGCAGAACACGAGACAAGGATTTCTTTGGTAAGAAGAAAAGACTCTGTTACGTGGTCCTTCTTTACGTACATAATGATGGATCCACTCCAGTATGAAGAAGAACTGATTTAAGAGAAGACATATGGTAGGACGCATTCAAAAGCTGAGCAGAGTATTACGAGACAGGAGGATTTCTTTGGTAACAAAGAAAAGAGTACTGAACTGCTACATGACATCTATCCTCCTTTACGACAGCGAATGTTGAACGGTCTCCTCAAAGATGAAGAAGGGGCTACAGAAGGATATTCGTGATCTCGTCACACTGAGGAGCTGTGATACAGCGAAACACATACTGCCTACGAATGACATAATTTAGCTCCTTTTTTTCAATTGAGCACCGTTGAGTGCTAAGTTAATTCTATAACAACAGCCACCCGCATTAATGCAAAGCTCTTCAGTAAATTGAATTGGAGCACTCCGGCTGATTGGCATTTGTTTACATTCGTAAAAACAATACGCTAGATTTAGTTGTTTCTCTTTGTCGAATGAAGTAGTAGAAACTCTAACTGACACGTTTGGGTTTCGATCCGGGCTTGAGGTATTCGGATGTCTAGTCGCCCTGAGAAGCTGTGATAGAGCGAAACAGTACTGTCTGTGAATACACACACACACACACACACATATATATATATATATATATATATATATATATATATATATATATATATCTGTGTGTGTGTGTGTAAGAAACTCGCGCGTCTTGGGGTCTCATTCAGGTTTATATCCCAAGTCTTTATTTCTCATGAATTTTGTCATCAAAGTACAATAGAGTAAAAATACAAGGCAATAAATTTTGAAAACTGACAAGTAAACGTCTATGGCGAGACCGAATATTCTTCTTTGTTTAAAAAAAGAAAGAAAAAGAAAAAAATATCTGTCCAACATGCTTAAAATGTTCCCTCGTATTAAGTCAGTTAATTTAAAAAGTCATTGTAGTGGGTCCCTGTGCGTGTGTACATATCATAATGGTAATAGTAATATAATACTTTCCTTATAAGGAATCATTTAATAAATGTTATATACCGTACGTATAAAAACTAATAGGAATATCCCAATCCTCACGTGTCCTACGTTGGACACAATTATAATGGGGGGGGGTAATATGATGTCCAAGTAGTCCACCACTAGCAGTGGTTTACCTACTTGATGCCGCTGGCGAGTATTGCATTTTGTTGATGTTATAAAGATTGCCAATTCATTTCTAACCTCCGTTATGGTTATTCCTCATTCGGTAACCCTTTCTAGGTTACAACATTTTGGCGACAAGGGTGAGATATTGGTAAGTTGGAACTATCGTTAAAAGAATCGGTATTTAATCAAAGGACTGGAAATGGTGCACAAAAGACATTTGAATCAACCAAAAAGTAAGCATATAGATACTCCAGTGGATGTTGAGTCTATGGAAGTTCTTCTCGACATATTGGATGTGCCCTTTCCTAGGAAAGCTCCTCAAATAAAAATCCCGAAAAAGACAAAGTAAGAGAAAAAGGAAGGATACAGAGAGAATCGACATTAATCCGAAAAGTGTTATATACCGTACCTATGAAGACTAATAGGTATATCCCAATCCTCATAAATACGTTGGACACTATTGTAATTGGGATCAGTATGCTGTCTAAGTAGTCTACCACTAGTAGTGGTTTACCTACTTTACACCGCTGGCGAGTATTGTATTTTGTTGATGTTATAAAGATGAGCGTTTCATTTCCAACCTCCGTTTTGGTTATTCCTCACTCAGTAACCCTTTCTAGGTTACATGTACACAGTAAGATAGTGTTGACCAGCCTCAAGCCCTCCCCTTTTTTGGCCTTGTGCCTTAATTATGTATTTTTATACGTAATAACGTTCAATATGCTGTCTAAGTAGTCCACCGCTAGCAGTGGTTTACCTACTTTACGCCGCTGGCGAGTATTGTATTTTGTTGATGTTATAAAGATTACCATTTCATTTCCAACCTCCGTTTTGGTTATTCCTCATTCAGTAACCTTTCTTACGTTAGAACATCTATCTATCTATCTATCTATCTATCTATCTATCTATCTATCTATCTCCGTGTTTTCGTTTTCTATCTACCTATATATCTATCTATCCCAGTCTCTTCATTATCTATTGTTATATATACCTTACTTATGAAGACTAATGGTTTATGTCCCAATCCTCATAAATACGCTGGACACTATTGTAAGTGTGGTGGGTACTATGATGTCTAAGTAGTCAATCACTAGCTGTGGTTTACCTACTTTACGCCGCTGGCGAGTATTGTATTTTGTTGATGTTATAAAGATTACCATTTCATTTCCAACCTCCGTTTTGGCTATTCCTCACTCAGTAACCCTTTCTAGGTTACAACATTGACCAAACACCCAGGTGAAAATTATAAAATCGTTCTCTTCAAATAGGCTATCGCTCTTTCCAGTATTAATAAGGGTCTCTTTCCGAACATTTTATTTGAAGTAGTGTGGAATATGTGTGTGTATGTATGTATATATTCGACTCTTCCGTCGAATTCGACATATGAGGGTCAAGTAGATCAGTTCCTAGGAAACCAACAGCCCGACAAAAGCACATGAGATTTGATTATAGTGGTGAAGGTTTCGTGCAGGACCATCCACACTTTTTAAAGGGCCGAATACAGAGACCTGGTGCCGAATACAGAGACCTGATATATATATATATATATATATATATTATATATATATAGTTGATTTTGTGACCCTGGGTTTCACTCTTTGTTTCACGCTTTTGCGATCGTCAAACAAACTGATTAATTTTTAAAATTTTGGATTTATGTATGGTTGTGTATATTTTTTTTTTTTATGGAAGTGGGGCGGGGGAAATTGTCGTCGTGACGCCACTCATACTTACGCAAACATACATACACGCCCGTACACCCATTGACGTACGCAGGCACATACACACACGCGCTCGCTCACCGGAGCTCACACAAACATACGAAATTATCAACTTGGCCGACTATGAGAAGTGGATTAATATCTGGATGGGTTTTGAAAACCTCTAAGGTTTATGAACGTGTTTCTTTGGTGAATAAAAGTTTTGACGATAAAACTTTGTTTTTATAAAGTTTGGAGCATAGTATGCTCACTTTTGGCGAATCTATGGAAACCTGTATATATATATAAATTAATATATCTTCTGTTTATACGTTATTTATATAGATACAGTTATGTAAGTAAATGCTCTGTTTATAATAAACAGTATTAATTACATTTAACGGCCTGAATATCCAATAAAATATGTGTCCTCTAAAGGAATTGAACTCGAGTTGTTATACCATTTAGCTACAGTGGAAACGGCTGGTTAGCAAAGTCAAATTACTGTTTTTAAACAAACAAATTTCCCATGATTTTTTCTTTTTATTAGGTTTGGGGCATTTTTTCACGGTAAGCACATTTTTGACGAATCTGTATAGTTACCTATACCTGGCTTATATCGGAGGGTATCCTCCAGACGAGGCTCTGCCGAAGGATAGAGTCTCGTCTCGTCTCGGGAAACTGACTCCCTTTTTACGTGGTCTATAGGCAATTTTGCGAGCCTACGGGCTCGGATACCCAACTTTTAAACTCGACCTTGTGCCACATCTTGCTGCGTGTGGCAGTGGGTAAATAATTATATATATATATATATATATATATATATATATATATATATATAAAGACATTTTATAAACAACATTTACTAGCCTGAATATCCGAGAAATTATCACAGAAAATATTCGTCCAACAGGAATCGAACCTGTATCCGATACGGAACCGTCATATAGCCTGACGTGCCTTTAACCGATTTGGCCACAGAGGAGTATTCTGTTAGCAAGCTCAGTTTTACTGTCTTTAAACTACAATCTATGAAAATTTCTCGGACATTCAGGCCGGTAAATGTTGTTCAATACTGTTTATTATAAACAGAGCATTTACTTGAATATTTGTATCTATAAAATAACAACGTTAAACATAAAAATGTCTTAAAATAATTGTCGGACTTTGTCCATTTCATAATGTGTGAAGTCATTTGTTTACATTTGGATACGCCATGAGCAGATATGAATGTACGTGAGAGATTCATAGATGATTGAAGTTCAAATACAGTAAATTTGACTTTGCTAACCGAACGCCGTCTGTGGCCAAATCGGTTAAATGCACGTCAGGCTATATGACGGTTTCGTATAGGATACAGGTTCGAATCCTGTCGGGGGACGAATATTTTATGTGAAAATTTATCGGACATTCAGGCTGGTAAATGTTGTTTAATACTGTTTATTATAAACGGGGCATTTACTTAAATATTTGTATCTATAAAAAAAGAATGTATAAACATAAAAATGTCTTAATGTCGGACTTTGTCCATTTTATAATATATATGAAGAAATATAGTTTTAAGATGTGCTATATTTGTGGGATAAAGTGCTCAATATCAGAGACAGAGCGTATGTAAATCGTCAGGCCACCCTGACGATTGCGTCCAGCATGAAACCGCCTGTCGCCTCTGAGTGCTGATTTCAATGTTCAGTTATATATATATATATATATATATATATATATATATATATATATATATTTATACACGTTTCATTAAATAATATAGACAAGTGTTGTCTATTTATTTTATGTAAAATTTGTTCGTAACATCTGATAAGTTTGATAACATTATCATTAAACGAAGAAAGAAATTCACAATATTGATCCATATTTTTTTAATATAATCTAAGCTTTCGGCTTACTTAAGCCATTATCAAAGATGTAAATCACAAACATATTAAACAATATACGGACACGACAGTGATGATAGTCTGTCAATGTTTACATAGTTGATCACTAAGCAACGATAAACACGCGCATATAAGACGCTAGAAGCGAAAATCGCACCGCATCTCATGACGTCACACATGACTACACGAGAGTGAATTGTAGAATGAAATAAGGAAAGCCGTTGGTATAAACCAATGGCTTCTGTTACCAATTATAGAAATTATAGACATTTAAGAATATTTGTAGACATGCCATAATTGATTTTGTTTAGGTTGGGTTTTAACTGTTTGATGTATAATGCTTCAAGTATTTTTAGTTTTTGTCTATTGTTTTCATGTCGAAGTATAGTTGTGTTTTCGACAAGTATTTTACGGAAATTGTGTGCGGGCAGGCATGTTGTTTTAAATGCCTAAAATGTTAGAGTTTTCATTAAAATGTAGTGTCAAGCGTCGTGAAAGCGAGTTTGTGGTGTGACCAACATAAATATTATTTAATTCGTTGGAGATACACTCTCCCAAAGGGCACTTGAATTTATAAACTATGTTTGGTTTTTTGCAAATCGCTAACCGGGGAGAAGAATCATTTGAAGTATTTGTTGGATATACTAGATTTAGTGTAGTATATGATTAATTTAATTTTTTTGCTAGGATCTGTAGTTGATATATTAGAATTTACTAAATTTTTTAGTATGTTTTCATCTTGTTTATAATTAGTATGCATTTGATTACGATATAGGAGATTAATATATTTGAGATCAGTAGAAGCAGTATTATGTACAATTTGCTTATTATTGAGATTTCTAAGAAAGCATCATATTTGTTCATCAACTATATAGTTTGGAAAGCTATTATTAATAAGTGTCTGTTTTATATTCTTTAGTTCACTGTAAAAAATCTGTTTTGTGGATGAATTAGTTTCTGCACGATGTATTAGATTAATTGCTATTTTGTAGTAATATGGGCATTCGCTCTTGTAGTTAAGTGTACATGAATTTATGCTTGTAGGTTTTTTGTATAGGAATAGAAAGAAAGGGTGAAGAACATTAAGAAGAGAAAGAAAGTGTGAAAATTGTTATTGCACAAAAAAATTCGTCGCAAAAAGTCACGTACAAATCGTCGAGACCAATCGTAGTAATGAAAACTTGGGAATCCAAAATGTCAGGATTGCTGGTCTGTATCCGGCCCAAAATGTTTTTAATTTCCTCACAGAGTCGGACTGATTCCAAAATGGTATGATATGTTGGGATACGGCGTCTAAGAGTAAAGTTGAAAACGTGTGACACAGTGACACACTGACATTCGCATTTATTATATAGATTATTATTATTATTATTATTTCGTATGCAAAAAATGCGACTTTTTGATCAACCTCACACGGTGAGGCTTTTGTTCGTCTGTTCGCACTATTCTAACATTTGCACGTAGCTGTTCCCATCTTTTGACGACATTCCAATATTATTTGATATTTGTCCCTTGTGCAGACGAATGTGCAATACACACACACACACGCACACACATCCATACTCACAGATTTAGCGTGAGAGGGGGAAAAGGAAAAAGAAAGAAATAAATGTGAGGAAGAGAGAGGCATATGAAGCATATGAAAGCAAATATTATCCATTCACTGCTTTCATTGTCGTCTGTATAATCAAACTTTTAACACGCTTGGTATACTCATGGGATTTTTTTAGCTAATAACATATATGCTGATTCATTTAGTTCTATGATTTTCCAAGAGGTCGATTCTATTTAAAATATCAAACTAGTCCCAGAAGGAGATATATATTTCCTCTTTCGTTGATATGTGATCTGCTTTGAGCGAGTAACGCCAGTGAGTCCTTCTTTGGATATTGCAAGCCGGCGTTTTGACAGAGGACATAATTATAAGTGCGACACTAAGATGGGTAGACGTATTGGGATGGCCAAAGATGCATTGCAAAAGCTGGGTAGAGTATTACGAGACAGGAGGTTTTTCTACTTCATACAAAAGATTAGGAAGGAAACCCTCCAATCAATACTTGAAAGAGCGATAACATCTAATGGACTTGAGAAACATATTTTCATGAAAATTTGCTTTAAGATATATATCTTATAAATTTCGACCGACGGTCAATTAATGCCGAATGTTTCCGTGTGGTAATTGTTCTGATCCGCAGTGGTACAAATTGTACATATGGGACCTAGTTAGTACTACATAGAGACTTAAGGTATTATGGTGACTGTCATAAGAATGGTAAGTAAGAACGTGTTTTTTTCGTGTTTGGGTCCGTATCCGTGGCTAGCTAAGTTTAAGATAAGACAGATTGATGACCAGCCAGTCAACTTTGATCTTCAAAAATTTAAATGTAACGTCAATCGTTATCTACTGTCT